AGGGTTTTGATTATTGCATCCGTCTCTTTACCTAGTTATAGATCTGTTCAGATTTTTTAGTGCTTCATGATTTGGTCATCATAGATTGTGTTTTTGTTGGTATATAATTGTTCATAGTAATCTCATAATTCTTTGGCATTCATTGTAATGTCCCCTCTTTTATTTATCATTTTGTTTGAATAATCTTATTTTCTTAGTCTAAATAAGAATTTGTCAGTTTTGTTGATTTTAAAAAAAAACCTCATTTTTCCTCCTATTTCTGTTCTTTATCACTGCTTTATTATTATTTCTTTCCTTTTACTAACTTTTGGTTTAGTTCTTATTTAAGTATAAAGCTGATGATTTAAGATCTTCTTTTTTTAATGTGAGCATATAAGCTTTCCTCTTAGTACTGCTGTCACTGTATCCCATTAGTTTTGGTATGTTGTGTTTTCAAAATATTTTCTAAATTCCCTTGTGATTTCTTCTCCGACCCATTGGTTGTTTGAGAGTTAGTTGTTTTGTTTGCTGTATTTATGGATCTTCTTATTTTCCTTTTGCTGTTGATTTTTAGTTTCATTCCAGTGTGGTGAGAGAAGATAGTTGGCATGAATTCAGTCTTAAATTTGGTAAGACTTGTTTTGTGGCCTACCTTACATATATTTTTGCTATTATCTGCATTCGGGGTTTCATTCTGAAGCCGTTTCTAATTTTTCACTGTTTAATTTTCTAAAATATGTTCATGCCTTTTCTGTACACTGAAAATATTTGAAAAATGAAGACATTACTTATTAGAAATTTTAGATTTATAGAAAATTTGAATAGAAAGTATAGAGTTCCAACTCTACCCTTGCTCCCCCGTGGACACTTTGTTTTCTCTATTATTAACAACTTACTTTAATATGGTACAGTTGTTACAATTAGTGAACCAATATCATTATATTATTATTAACTAAAGATCATAGTTTATTCACATTTTCTTAGTTTTTACCTAATGTTATTTTTCTCTTCCAGGATCCCACTCAGGATACTGCATTACATTTAGTTGTCATTTCTCATTAGACTTTTTAAAATTGTATTTTCAATGACTTTGACAGTTTTGAGGAATATTGGTTAGGTATATTATAGGATTTTCCTCTATCAAAATTTGTCTGATGTTTTTCTCATGATTAGAGTGGGATTGTGGGCTTTAGGGAGGATATATTTGACATTTTAGTTTGCAGCTTTCTCTTAAAATGTACTTTATGAGATAAAACCAGCTCTATCAGTTACTTGTTTTTTCTGTATCCCCTTCCAGTATTTGCCTAAAGAATATCCTAATTATATTATACTTTAGGTATGGATTTAAAGGGAAATTTCTGTCTAGTGTTAGTCACTCATCCCTGTCTGACTCTTTGTGACCTCATGGACTATAGCCCACCAGGCTCCCCTGTCCCTGGAATTCTCCAGGCGAGAATACTGGAGTGGGTTGCCATGACCTTGTCTACGGGATCTTCCCAACCCAGGGATCATATGCAGGTTTCCTGCGTTGCAGGCAGATTCTTTACCATTTGAGCCATCAGGGAAGCCTACTTCCTATCAAACTTCTTTATAAGATACTCCCTTTAAACAAGATAGTGTTTGTAATGGCCTGGTTTGTCTCTTTGAGGAACAAATACAATTAAAAGTGGGTTTTTCCCAGACTGAAATTAAACTGCTAAACTGTTAAAGAATCAGCCTGCCAATGTAAGAGACCTGGGTTCAATCCCTGGGTTGGGAAGAGCCCCTTGGAGAAGGGAATCGCTATCCACTCCAGTATTCTTGCCTGGATAATTGAATGGACAGAGGACCCTGGTGGGCTACAGTCCATGGGGTTGCAAAGTGTCAGACACGACTGAGTGACTAGCACACAAATTCAAAAAATTAGTTACTGTGTGTAGTATTTGTATATGCTTTTGTGCAAACATGCATATTTTTTTGTATTAGTTGGCTAGGGCTACTGTAATAAAAGACCACAGACTAGGTGGCTTAAACTACAGAAATTTATTGTCTCACAAGTCTAGAGGCTAAAAGTCCAAGATTTGAATGTTAGGTTTGCTTTCCCCTGAGGCCTCTCTCCTTGCAGATGTCAGTCTTCTCACTATGTCTTCACAGAGCCTTTCCTCTGTGCCTATATCCCTGGTATCTCTCTCTTGTTAATTAATGTAAGAACACCAGTCATGTTGGGTTAGGGCCCCATCCTTATGACCCTGTTTAACCTTTATTACCTCCTTATAGGTCCTGTCTCCAAATATAAATTATATTGGGAGTTAGAGCTTTAACATACAAATTTTATAGGGACACAGTTCAGTTTGTAACAGGTTTTATGTAGTGCTTCTGATTTATCTCCCAGAGAACTTGCCATCTTCAGTATGTTTATTTTCTAGGCTGCTCTCACAGATTACCACAAACTAGATTGCTTGAAATAACAGAAATTTAATTCTGTCAGTTCTGAATGCCAGAAGTCTGAAACCAGTATCACTGGGCAGAAGTCAAGGTGTCATCAGTGATGTTCTCTGCATAGGAGAATCTGTTCCTTTCCTTGTCCCAATTCCCGACTATGGCTGCAGTTTTCAAGGCCAGTGTTTTCTAATCTCTCTGCCCTGACTTCATCTTCTCTGTGTGTCATCAAATTTTTCCATGTCTCCCACTTTGTAAGTGATTGCATTTAGGGCCCCTGTAGATAATCCAGGATAGTCTCTCCATCTCAATATCTTTAATGTAAATCACACCTGCAAAGACATTTTTTTCCCTCTTGCCATATAAAATAAACTTCACAGATTTGAGGGAGTAGGATGTGGATATCTTTTACAGGACCATTTTTTAGCCTATCATACTGAGCATTTCATAGTAGACTTCTGATGTTCTCAGTTTGATTTATGATTTAGTTTGTAATAGGTCTCTAGATAGTTTTGGGTAGGTGAAGGCTGGTGGCAGAATATTTTCATCTCTTCTAAACATTATGCGAGAAACTGGAGGTCTGTGTTCTCAGTGGGTGGTCCAAGAAGTATCAGCATTAGCATGACCTTAGGAACTTCAGAAATCCAAAATGGTCAGCTGGACTTCCCTTGTGGCTCAGCTGGTAAAGAATCTGCCAGCAATGCAGGGTTCAGTTCCTGTGTTGGGAAGATTCCCCTGGAGAAGGGAAAGGCTACCCACTCCAGTATTCTGGCCTGGAGAGTTCCTTGGACTGTATAGAGTCCATGGGGTTGCAAAGAGTTGGTTGGACAGGACTGAGTGACTTTCACTTTCACAATCTTAGACTTGCTAAATCAGGAATTCTGAGGGTAGAGCCTAGCCATATTTACATAATAAGCCTTCTGGGTGATTCCTATGTACATTGAAGTTTGAGAACCACTTTTCTAGACTGTAGACATTATTAATGTTAAAACCATATTCACCTTCCTCTTCAATATTTTTTCTGCTTAATGCTAACACTTAAATTAGTCTAGCATTATTGTCCACAAACTGTTTTCTGTAGAGATAGAAACATGTAGTGCCAAATCTTAGTACTGTTTCTCAGTGAAATTAATTCATTTACTCAATAAAAGGTTGCACTGGGCTCATTCTTGTTAGTTGTATGTTTACTTAGATGTAGTCCTTTTATAAAGTAACGTTACTGACATCCAGAAATGATAGGAATTTTTTCTCTAGTCTTTAAACATGTGAATTAAATTCATTAGACTGAGTTTTACTTTCCTATCTTCTGTATCCTATGTACATGTGGGGATACAATGTAAAATATCTAATCTTTATTTTGCCTACACTACATTTTTAGGCTTTTATTATGTGCTATCCAGTGGAAGTGCTGAAGTGAGATAAATTAATTATTATGCTCAATGTGTCCTCAGTGTAGCTCAGAAAACCCACAAGTAAACAGTTTATATAGAGCTATCACTAGTTGCTATTTGAGAAATCACTAGTTGTAATTGAGAAACACAGCTTTACATAGTTGAAGAAATTAAAGAAAGATCTGCCAGGGTGACTAAATATTGAAAAACTAGTATAAAGGTGTTAGCAAGGTTAAGGAGAAGTAAAAAGTAAGTATAGTTCACCAGGTGAAAAGGCTGAGAGAGAGCTTAGGGGCTCTTCTGGGAGTTGAAGGGGTTTAGTAGAAACATGAAGTGAGGAAGAGAGTAAAGATTGGAGAGATAGATGAGACTGAGGTCACTGATGAGTACTGTGAAGGACTTGAGGCATAGATGTGATTTTCCAGGGTAGTCATTGGAAAATGATTACTTACAGCGTTTGTGAAGGATAAATTCGGTGGATAGGGAGTCTAGAAACACAAGTTACAGCAATCTAGGTGAGAATAGTAGTAGCTGTGGTGGCGATGTTTTTTGAAAATAAAAATTCAGAGGAGTAACAAGCTGATTTTCAGGAAGGGTGAAGGCTGAAGTGTAGAATTCAGAGTAGGATATATTAAAGTTTTAGAATTTGTGAAGCGTGATAAAATTAGTTGTAGGTGGATTTTTGACAAGTAAATTTTCAGTGGAGTTAGGCTGAAGGTGTCATACTGGATTGAAGGTTAAATTGAGGAAGCAAGAGAGTATCAATATTCACTATTCTCTACAGTAAGCTTCCCTGGCATTTAGTAAATATTTAATCAATGTTAGCCATTATTATGGCTACTGTTAATAAATACTTTTATGACATCTCTTTTTTTTTAAACTTTTTGGTGTATTTTTGGCATATATGTAATACTAGATAAGCATTGACATAGAAGTGTGTGTTTTATTCAGAAATATTTTAATTTTGCTATTTGCCATACTATTAATATTAATGGAAACAAGAGCACTAAGAAGTTTGTTTCTCGTTTGAATAGATAATTATTCCTCAAGTAAAGGTAGCTGGCAATAGTTTCTTGAAAGTTACTGTAGTAATTTAATTTATGGTTTTTAATTTAAAAAATAGTATATCATAGATATATTTATTCATACCTGAAGCAGAAAAACTAAATGATTGCCTTTACATGTATTCTTTCAGGTTTGATTTAATTTCGAATGAGATTGTTCTTGCAGCGAGATGTTAATAAGACAAAATCTAGGTAAGTAGAAGACGACTTTGTTAAATATTACAAATCAAAATAGGAATAATACAAAAATTTATGTTTAAAAAGCATACCTCCAAATCCAAAGCAGTGAGTCTTTAAATAAAATTTTGAAATACAAAGAAAACAACTTTTTGATACACTTGGTCCATTTTATTTGATGGAAGTAAAAACATATCTGTCAAATAGTAGAACTACATTCTTAATTTTCCTCCTTTTATGCTGTGATTAATTTAAGTATGCGGTTTCCAGTGACCCTTAAACATGTTTGAAAATCAAGTTGATATTTGGTTTAGCTGCTTGGAATCCAGCTCAATAAGAGATTTGCTTAGATTTCTTCAGTGTTCCCTTCTTAAAACTTCTTGAGTCATCTTTGCTTTTGTGAAATTTACTTTCTTATTTCCATTAACAAAACACTTCCACAGTTACTTAAATTTGTCAAATTATGACTTTTTACAGTAATGTAATGTTCAGTTATAAATGATTGTTTTAATATTTTTTGTATTTCTACTGAATGACTTCTGGTTTAGCATTCATATTTATTTTAATTTTTTAAGACTGTTGACTTCAGAAAATTGAATTACGATCATGTACTTCTGGTCTGATATGTGAAAGATTGCTTTTTTAATAATATAAATTGAGACGTTTAAAGGATACATTTACTAATCTGTTGGTTAGTGAACATGGCTTCAGGATATAAACAGATGTAAAAGAATACTTTGATTACATTAAAATTAACTCCGGTCTTTCTGAATCTAACTAGATGTTTCAGCTGTCAAAGCCGTGCTGACCTCAGTGGTTTAAAAAAGCCTGGGATGAGAAGTACTGTTGAGTAATGTGCAGTGAGATGGTATATTCTCAAGTAGTGGTTTAGTCATAGTTGGAAGGGACGTTTCCATTTTATTGGTATTATGCTGTAATAATAGTGGTGATTTGGAGAATACTTACTATATTAGGTGCTTCTCATGCCTTATGTCTTTACAGTACATCTTATAAGGTAGATACTGATGTCTAGAAAATTTTTATCTTTTGGTTAATAGTGAACTATTTCCTTTTTTTTTAAAGAAACTATTTTCACAGCACTTACTATAAGGAACACTTGCTTATATATCTTTCTGAAGTTAGTTGAATACAGTGTCTATTAGGGTGTTTATTCTGATTTCTTGGAGAAGGCAATGGCACCCCACTCCAGTACTCTTGCCTGGAAAATCTCATGGATGGAGAAGCCTGGTAGGCTGCGATCCATGGGGTTGCTAAGAGTCCGACACAACTGAGTGACTTCACTTTCACTTTTCACTTTCATGCATTGGAGAAGGAAATGGCAACCCACTCTAGTGTTCTTGCCTGGAGAGTCCCAGGGACGAGGGAGCCTGATGGGCTGTCATCTATGGGGTCGCACAGAGTCGGACACAACTGAAGTGACTTAGCAGCATCTGCATTCTGATTTCTTTCAAGTTAGATATTGCTCATGGGATGACACTGGTTTTAACTTACTCTGGTTTTGTGTGTGCTCAGTTGCTCAGTCATGGTGACTGTTTGTAGATCCATAGACGGTAGCCCATCAGGTGCCTCTGTCCATGAAGTTTTCCAGCAAGAATATTGGAGTAGGTTGCCATTTTCTCCTCCAGAGGATCTTCCTCACCCAGGGACTGAATCCAAGTCTCCTGTGTCTCCTGCATTGGCAGGCGGATTCTTTACCACTGCACCACCATTTTATTCCAGCACAATTACATATGCATTTTCTTTTTTGTTAAGGTATAATTTACATTTTTATTAAATTAGGTATGGTAAAATGTGGAAAATTTAAAGTGTAGAGCTAAATAAGGTTTTTACATGTATAACCACTGTGTAATTTAAGATGTAGAACACTGTCATTGTCTCAGAAAGTTCCTCATGCTCTTTCCTTTCCAATCCAGTAGCCTTTCCCCCACGGTGAGCATCTTTCTAAATTCTGTCAACATAGCCTAGTTGTGCCTGTTTTTGAACTTTATGTACATAGAATTATATAATATATACTCCTATATCTGGCTGTTTTCATTCAACACAAGTGTTTCTGAGTTTCATCCATGTTGTTGTGTTAGTAGTTTATTATGTTTATTGCTGAGTGATATTCTATTGTGTTAACACAAATTTAGGTTTTCTCTATGATTTTGTTTCTTGGGTTCTCCATGTCTCTGCCCTCACCTGCCGACTTTGTACATGGCTTTCTTTCCTCTAGTTGTCCCCTCCTTTGTCCCCCGTCACCTGCACAGTAAAGTGTGAACTCAGGCATGTTATATCATTACCTCATTGCAGCTGTTCTAGAGTTATCTGAATAAGCATGATGTTTATGTTCTTAGTTTTAGTTCCATGTATATGTTGTCTTTCTTCTCCCACCCTCTTATCTCCCCAACTGCCAATATATTTTCTCCTGGTTGTCAGCTTATCTCTTGAAATAGTTCATCTCAAGCATCATCTTGTCCTTTGAGCCAGACCTGTCCATTCCACTGTAGTCTGTTTTCTTTACTAGACTGTGAATTCTTTGAGGGTATATACCATCTATATCTTATTTATCTTAGTAGCACAGTGTCACAATGCTATGTGAACTTAGTGATTTGTTACACACAGAACAGCCAGTAGAGTTCTCTCTGTAATAAATAGGGGTTCAGAGTACTGGCTGGAATGGGATGAGGGCATTGCACTTCAATTGCTCTTACACTGTAAGAAGGAGCCAATGAAGGCAATCCAAAGATAGGCACTTTGGGAAGAGAAGTAAAATATCCTCCTAGTCTTCTTTCAGTCCAGTTGGAATAAAATGGCTAATAATGTTCTTAGTCCAGATGTTAAGGAATATTGAGTGTCATCATTGATTTTGATTATTCTTTCCAAATAAAGGCATTAATCCATGTTATGGAAATTGGAGTGTTTGCTACAATATTTTCTTTGTGAGTTTCTGCTAGGTAGACTAATACAAATAGAAGATTAGAAATCCTGATCACATCTTTAAGAAGTGAAGAAAACTTTTCCTCATGTTCCTGAGGGTAAAAAACTACTGGAGAGGAGGAAAAAAATTGAATCATAGTCTGGAATTGTAATAACATTATTGATTCCTGTGACTTAGGAAGCTTGTTATTTGCTGAGAAGTATTTTTAAAGATTTTGTCTTATCAATATATTTGGTAATTTATATAAATATTTTACTTTCTTAAGAAATAAAACTTAAAAAAAATTTAAAGCATTTTGCATTAGTTTTCTTAATTGAGGTTTGAAGTTGGGCTAGTTGGGTTGGCTATCATAGTCACCTGGGGGGTTATTATGCCTGAAGCTTTATTGCCTTCTAGCAAGTCCAAAGGAAGGAGAGGTTCTCCCCCACTGGGATCAATTTGTTGCCTTCTCTTTCTGCAGCTTCTGCCATTAAGCTTGAACACAGAGTTGGGCATTGACCCCATCTCATGTTGTTCCTTCTGTCTCCTTACCTGTAAGGATTTTTCTTAGACACAGATTCTTATTGAATGTAGAACCTTGGCTGTTTCTTTTATTTCATCCTGGATGTGAAGTATGTTTAGTTCTCTTATTGATAAAAGTTTACTCTTGAGATTGCTTAATTTATGTGTCTCTAGAGGTTTTAGACCAGCTTTTCTTCTCAGAGGCTGATAGGTCTACCTCAATTTCAGACTCTTCCTCTTCATTTTGTACTTCAATATTTGACACAGTCAGATAGTGCTAAGCTTTTTCATTTTGCATAATTCTTGAATCCAGGGATTTAAAGTTCTTTATGAACGTCTCATATTAACTTTATTTCTGTAACTAACCTTTCTGTGCTTCCTTTCTTTAGTAGCACTGTAGATGTGCTTCCCATTGTTTGTACTATGAAAAAGAAAACTTTTTAAGTAATAAAATTGTTCCTCATTCTAAATAGGATTGCACAATATACATTAGACCTTTTCCAGATATATTGTCAAGTAACATTTAGTATTTTCAGAGCTTTATTTTGTACATAAAAGCCACATTTGCTTATGTGTGTGAGCAAATAGTACAGAAATGCTTAAAATAAGAAGTTAAACTCTCCTCTCACTCAGCACCATACTCCCTATACTCAAAATGGCTGGTATGTATTCTGCATTGTTTTCTGACTGTTTACTGATACATCGTGGACAGTTTTTCATATATGCATTACCTGAGCTATTTTATTGAGTGTCTTACAGATCACTTTAAGGAATTTGGATTAGCAAACTCCTATTCAAGGAGTTTAAGTATGAGGAAGTGCTGTGGTCAGATCTGGGTTTTTGAAATGTGGAGAATTAAAATGGAGAACAAATTAGTGAAGAAACTAGATTGGAATCAGGATGACCAGTTTGTAGGGGGAGGCTGCTGGCCTGTCTTTAGAGTGGTGGTAATGGAAGAGATGTAATTCGATTTGAGAGAGATTTAGACGAGAGAATAGGTCAACTTTGGTGTTTAGTTGTGATGAAATTTTGGTGGTAGGAGAGTAAGGAAAGAGTTGAGGATAATATCCATGTTTCTGGCCTGGCAGTAGTACAGTATTCACAGATAGGAACTGTGGAGAAGAAGCAGGTTTGTAGAGAACAAGAGTGAAATTTTAGCTATATTGAGCTTGAAGAGCATTAAGTAGCTCAAGACATTTGAGTGGAAATGTCATGTGGAAGTTAGTTACAAGTGGCCTGTAACTTAAAGGAGATCTGAGAGTCATCAGCATTAAATCTTCATAATATCTCACAAATTAATTTTTTATTTTGATATCTCTTTGTAAGATAGCTCTGCAAAGTATCTTTGTGAAATAATTCAGTTGACCTAAAATTTTTTGAAAATGACTTGCTCTTTATAAATTTATGAGCTGCTATTTTTATTAGAAATTCTGGTCTGTGCTTATTCTTACTTAAACAAGATTTAATATCATTAATGAACAATTAATCATACTGTTGATTTCCATAGTCTTACCAAAGATACTTGAACAGCCTAAGGATATATTAAACATGTTAAATCTTGGGTTTCCATTAA